AACCTGGGGTTTAGGGTTTAGGGTGATTTCAGCATGAGCCAAGCTGCAATTGTCCAGCTGCAGTTCTGAATATGATCGGACATCACAGTCCAGTGAAGAGAAGCGCAACACGCCGTGCGCTTCCTTTGTACAGGGCTCAACTTCAAGGTATAGCAAGCTCTCGCATCGCGATCATCACGTGGTCAGGCCTTGTAGATGCCATCTAGAGGCCTGTTGATTAGCCTTGGAGCGAAGGTACACGTAGAGAGATGCTGGCTAGTGGCTAGGATTTCAGAAAAGCAGCGTAGCTAGACCATGTGATTTTGCCGCCTCCCGAGACTTCTGGCCAGGCCGGCTACATCGGCTACATGTTGGAGTGAAGTCTAGCTGAGATGTTGCTGGTGTCGGCCTCAAAGAGTGTCGGCGCTTGAACGGCCGTGTTTGCATCTACAGCCGATCCGTCAGGATTTCGAGGCACGTGGCCTGGCATCGCTCGCTCTCCTCTGATTCTGTTGGAAAGGCGGACCCGGCCTACCCACATCGTCTCGGCCTGCAAAGCAGTGCAGCCATGTGCGATGTACAGTGCAAGGAATGGCAAAACTTCGCAGACCTCCTTCTGTCATGCGTCTGCCAAGAGTTTTTCGTATTGACAACTCCCTCCCCTGTCGGCCATCCAGTGTACTGCATGTCGTTTACGGACGTTGCCAGCATTTCGCAAGTCTGCAGTCAAACAGAATTCTCCTAGCTGCCACAACAGACCGTGCAACAAACGCCTCTGCGAAGTTCAAGGGGAACTGCAGAATCCGGAAGTGGTGATTGGTCGGGAGCTGCTTCATCACCTGGATGGACTCGCAAGAGAGGCGCACTGCTGCAGGGAGGGATCTGCCGAGCGAGGCACCATAGACAAGTCCAGGTGCTCTGCGTCGGTCGGTCTGAGCGGTGTGAAAGCTGCCGAGATGCCATAGTAAACCTGATTGCAAAAAGCAGAGTTCACACCTTTGCTTCAAGTAGCATTCTGCTGAAACCTCTGCTCTGCTCGGTGCCCTGCTTTTATTCTGTTCACTCGAAACGCCGACTGTAGCTGGCTGTCTGCTTGGCAGACGCCGGAAGAGGCCACCTTGGCAGCCCTGAGCTTCCACATGACCTTGTCGCCCAGACCGAAGGCTCTCAGAAATGGGCCCTTCGCAGCAATGGGAGCGATGAAAAGAACCTCGCAGCGCTCCGATTGCCAGCTTCTCTCGTTTTGCAGCAAACATCTCCGGGATCTCGAAGTTCTTGTGCTCGCCGGGAGCTGTTGCAAGATCTAAACCACCCTACCAGTAAGCTGTGTCTAGTCAGCCTAGTCTGACATTCCGAAGGATGACTTGAGCATTCGCGCCGCCCCTCCGGCCGCGGACCAAGCCGCACCCACAGCGGCACTTGCTGCTTCGGCTGGGCTCTCCAGGGCCTCTCTGGCGCCAGCTGCTGCGCTGGCCGCGGTGCTGGTTACCGCTTCGTAGGCAAAGCCTGGTGCCTCTCGGAACATTTCGCTCACTGCCTCAGCATGCCGAAGCAAAAGCTGCGAGCACTGGCCTATGAAATCAACACAAAAGGCAAGCACACCTAGCCCTGGTTTGGCACCTTGCTACCTAGCTTTTCTGTACCAAGCTATTCCCGGCTAAGTTCACGGCAGATTCAACCACCGCTTCTGCTCTTGGCTGCCACCCCGCCCGTCGGGCGCTTTGCTGCCAAGCCGTGCTCTCCGACGTCTTTCGGGCACGACCCTCCTCCAGGATCACTCGATGGTCAAAGCCTGTGAAGCGAGGAAGTACATGTGAGCAGATCACCGCCGACGCAACATGCTCACATTTGCAGAGAACTTGCTCCAGCATCTTCGACTTTGAGACCGCCTTCAGTGCGACAGAAACCATCGGGGGTTTCTGTGGCTCTGGGCTCAAAGCTGCCTCAATCAAGGAGTATGACCGCCCACTGCCGCGGCCTTCCGGTGGAGCACTCCAGAAGTAGAGCTGGACGGTCACATCTAGCTGAAGGAGTTGCATCTGGAATATCCACGGATCGGAGTATCCAGGGATTGGGACTTCCAGCCGCACAAAAGGACACTTGGAAGAAGCGAGCTGCAACCCGACATCGAAGCAAACCACGCCTTCGTGTGGTGACTTGACTGAGCGCACGGAAGTGACTTGGGGCGACTTGTCTCCCAGCTCAATTTGGGTGAGGATGCCCGTAAGCTCACGTTCACGAATAACCTCCCGCATGTGCTTCCAACCAGGCTCCAGCAACTGCTGCAAGCCACAGGTAGAGCTGACATCTGCCTCGACTTCAATGGCTTCAGAGGTCTCTGAGCTTCGCTCCAAGTACTTACTGAGCAAGTTGCGCTGACGCTGTGCATACGACGCTTGTAACACCAGCGCGCTGCCAAGCACCAGGTTGCCTGCGATTGAGATGAGGAACATCCAAACTGCAGGTCTCCAAAGTGCCAGTACGGCGAAGATAAGAACTGCTGCAGCCAGCGCTGGATCAATTTCAGCAGGTGCTCCTTTCGGTGCACCAGCACTTTCATCTTTATCTTCAGTATTGCAGAGCTGGAGCGCTGGGGGGATGGGCGACTCTTCGGCAGAAGCTTCCGAAGGACGCGCATTCCGCACATCCTCGGGCGTCTGTGCATCAGCCGGGGACCGACTCACCTTTCCAGAGCTCTCAGAAGTACTCGCGCCGGCCGAACTCTTCCTCTTTTGAGGTAACTTCGAAAGCAGTGAGGCCTTAAGCTTCTGGCCTTTCTCTTTTAACATATTGACGGGCGCTTGGCGTACCGGCGGGACATATCGGCTCTTGAACAAAAGTGACTGCGAGAGTGGACTGTGTTCATGTATACACACCAGGCCTACTAGATGGCTGCTTCCAGGTGGCAATGCGGCCACGCGTCACTTCTGCTTCGAGGTGCTCAAAAGCGCTGCCTGTGGAGATGTCATGCACAGCTGCAGACAGGCCTTTGAGAAGTGACACCGCAGCGTGCGGAAAGTGCGGCCATGGAGCGTATCCGGTTGTAGACTTCTGCCATGCTGACCCCGGGAGCTTTCGTCTCGTATTCCGGGCAGTGCAGCAGCAAGCAATCGATGCAGGTGAGCCTCAAGCAAAATGCTCCGTGGTCATAGTCAGCAGGGCCCTATGTTTGCCGCGAGGCCCAAGTCTGCTCAAGCTTCGGGTCAACTCCTTGCATGCGACGCTCCATGGCACTCGGAGCAGGACACTCTTCTCTCGAGGTGCGAACCTGTTCTATCCAGGCTGGAGAAATGCAGTGAAACAGACCTCAGATCACATGCTCGTGCGGCAGTACGCAGCAGCTTCGATTCAATGATTCGGATATGAGCAAAGAAGCTGTCGTTGATCCTGGACATGTTCGGGACGTCTTTGATGAAGGCCATCTGTTTACCAAGCACGTTGCCGACCTGTCCACAACTCTCTGATTTCCCTTGCGGAGGGAGGCAGAGGCCCACTCTAAGATCCGGGGCTCTGATTATCTGGGGAAGTTCCGTTCTACGAGTCTTGAAACTAAGTCAAAACAGTTTGCTTGAGAGGCAACTTGTATGGCAACGCACATCGCTTGCCTTAACCTCTGCAACTGGAGGGCCTGCATTTCCGCTACAAGTATCGGCGTGGCGGTCACACTTCATCGGTCTAATTCAATCATTCCCGTCTTTCGTCTTCCCTCCCACGTGCCACTGACAAGCGGCCTTCGTTGCAACAACGATCTCATCACGCCGCACCTTTACACCACTGTTGCCAATAGGAAGCAGCTCGGTCAAGCTCACGAGCAGGTCCTTCCGGTTCTGCAGCATCTTCTGCAAGACCTCGCCTGCAACCTCACTGTCGCGGTCACGTGGTGCCGGAGACAACTCAGCAGATGAGGTGAACATGGGCAGGCCTCTTCGGAGACCCCATCAACGTAGTTGGGAGCCAAGTCAACCTGAAGCTGGACGGCTTTGGGGCCAAGGCCACGCTATCGATAAGCGGGAAGTGGCTTTGAAGACCCAAGTGGCGAAGTTGCATCCCAGCGAGATTGCTAGCTCTAAAGCTGCCTTGTGGGCATCAGCATCCTCGCAAAACAGGGGTGCTTCCTGAATCCCTGTTCAGCCTTTCACATTCGATTCACGCTAAACTTTGGTCCTCAAGACGGTGGCAGCCGAAGCCAACCGGCGAAATGCAGAGGCCGGTGCGCCCCAGCTCTCGCATACTCTCCCTCGGGGCTGTTAGAACAAAGGAGCCGACCGACTTCTTGTAATGAAAGTCATTGCAAGCAGGACACGCTACAAGCTTCTTCCTGACCTCAGATTCGCTCCGCGTCGTAGGCTAGCCATTTCTGCAGATCAACAAGCAGAAGAGCCCTTTGAACGATGCCCGGCGGCTAGGAATCTCTTGGTGCCATCTGTGGTCGCATGAGCTGAATCTGGCGGAAGCTCTTCCGCTGGCTCACAGACCATAACATCGCTGTACTCCTAAGATGGACTCGCCCATTTCAGCACATTTACTAGGGGGTGTGGTGCATGCTGCAGTGATGATCCGCTCGTTGTAACTAATATCTACATGCGTCGTAGTAATCGTAGCGCTCGCCCAAAGTTACCTTCAGCGGGACGCAGTCGGAGCCATCGTCCGCCACCTGAGCTGCCGAGCTTGGAATCAAACTGGTGTCTCTGCCCGTTCTGTGTCTGAGAGGAGAGCGACAACTCCGACGTCTCCTTCCTTCAACAGACCGGACGGCTTTGCAAACCGAAGGCGAACGGAATCGCCCACCTGGCGAAGAGCAGCAAACTGAGACTTTGGTGAACATCCTTACATCGGCCTTGGGCTTTCTGTTGGCATCACCACCTCGTGAACAAAAAGTGCCGGTCTAGGCCCTACCGCGCGGAAAGCTGAACCTCAAAGAAACAGCCCAGGCGCTGCTTCCGGGTGCAAGCACCGGAGTAGAGTGAGGGTTTTCACCTGTCTCGAAGCAGCCTTGGCACTCTAGCGAGGTACTGCTTTCATCCAGCCATGATGCAGGCCGTGGCGGACAGCAAGTTTGCTTTTTTGTTCTGGGTCTTTGTTATCAACATGAGCTTCAACATCTTTGTCCGCACCGGCACACATCTATCATGAATCATGGATGGACTCGCAGCTTAGTATTTATTAAACCAACAGTAGGCAAGGTGGCCCAATTTCTTTTAAGCTCCCAACCCCGATCATTGATGCTGCTGGCGATTTGTTGTTATCCTTGTCATCATGACAAGCTGCCGTAGGAAAAGCGCTCATGCGCTGCAGCCAGTGGTTGGTCTGCACCTGCCACGTTGTCTTAGCACCGAAAAAGAGATGCGAGTCTCAGAAAAAGGGGCACCCCCCCCCCCCCCCCCCCCAGATACGACACCCTCGTGGCTCGTGTCGAGCAGACATCTTCGTGGTCGTCTGTCCTCGTCGTCCTCCTGGTCGTCGGCGACAACGACGGCTACAACTCTTTCGACGAATAATTCCTAGGACTGCAAGGACTGGCAAACACCCCGTGCACATTATAAAACAAACAATCAATAATTGCTATGACTATTAAAACATTTCATATCTATACGAGTAGTAGAAATCATAGTAGTCATAATGCCACAATTACGAACGATCGTCCATCCGTCGCGCCTCCAGCAGAACGCTTGGCC